TTGCACGAGAAGTAACGCAGGTGTATAGATTGTCTGACTTCAATTTTTGCTTGAAGTTATTTGGGAAAAAACATATCACTTCACTACGTATAAAACAAAATCGCTTTCCTCTGTCTGTCCATATGTATGCTTAGATTTTTGAAACTACGCAATGGATTTTGATGCGTTTTTTAATAGATTCAAGTGATTCAAGAGGGAGGTTTATAAGTATATAACATGCCTAATATATAAGAGAATCACTGATAATTTCAGAGGTTTCTAATGTGATGTAAATAAACATATTTATTTGCGCTTACATTGCAAACTCTGGCTGAACCCTACGAGGTCTACAAAACATTCTGCGATGATATATGTCTGTCTACCTCTTAGATATAACCCACAATAACTATTTTCCACCTTCGAAATATAATGGGTTATTTACGAAGCCATTTCAAGCAAGTACCTTAAGTACATTGTGCATTCAATATAAATTAATATGGCCCTTTACAGCATGCAATTTAAATGAATATTTTCGAAGATATTACAGATTCAAAATGCAGGGACATAGCGGTTGCGGCGGTACCGGCCGGGGGACTGGCGGCGCGTGTCTAAAAATAGCACTTTATGGTTACCAGTTTATATGTATATTTAGTATCAGGATTGCACCCGTTCGGAGCCGGGCGAGTCGCTAGAGCCATATAAAAGGACAATGTCGAGAACTGTAATTTTTTTGGAATATTTACATATTCAATAAAATACCATGAACAATGAAATGTTTGGTATGCTCCTACTTCTCTTGTTATCAAACTTGTCATCCGATATTTAAAATGTTGATTATGAATTTTCATGTGCACGTATTTAGATGTATATTTCTCTGAAACAATTTATCCTACCGAAAATCAACAACAGCAAACTTTTTGTTGGTGCATTTCATTAGTTCGGACTTCCATTGTCTAATATGATATAAATTGATCAATTGAAATTACAATGAAATAAAATACAAGCAACAACCAAAAAATCAAAAAAATAAACTATCAACACGAGATGAAAATTAAAAAATTATTAACANCCAAAGGTTCCAAACAGTACATCATAAGTATTAATCACAGTGTATCGTATGTTTGCGGAAATCGCGACATATTGATTGATTTGTAAACGTTTATTGAATACATGTGAGGTGTATGGATAATTTTTTAGTTGTCATTCGATAAGGGATCCCCGTCTGTGTTTGTTTGAACAGTGAGTGCAGTGTATTTGATGATTTCCGTTGGTACACCTCATGTTTTATCATTATAATTTACTTTCAGAGAACGGTATATATTTCCTGAAGATAATATAAAGAGTGTAATAAAAATGAAACCAATTCTGCATATTGCAATTTGCATTTCTTCGCTATTTTCAAATCAATCTTAAAGTAGCTTTCAGATTTGTTGCTTAATCAGCATTTAAAAAAATATACGGAGCGATTTGGACTTCCGCACAAAAAACTTCTAATATCTGGACAATACAAATATATTTTCATTCTCTATACTAACGCTTTATTGAATTTTAAAAAAGTTTCTCCAACGAGAAGTTATATTTATACATACATCCGGTGTAATTGAATGTTAACGAGAATTCTCTATAGGATTTGAAGTTTCTATTTAACTCAATGTAATTCGATCGATAGTATCCACGGTAGAACAATTGAAGAACTTCAAAATAGCAAAGTTATCAAGAATAACAATTATTTAAATTTTGATTGTAATTTTGTAAGGCCAAATTTTCACCAATTATTATCTGAATTATTGTTGATCCCAAAGTACACGAAATAGAAAAAAACTTGAATATAAAAACATCTAACTTAATGTTTAGTTAACGATTGAGTTATTTCAGTGATATGAACTTACAATTGGTATTTCAGCACTGTTCAAAAATGAATGATTGCTAATAGGATATTGTCATTGTATTTGCATTCCAAGTGCGGTAATATGACAATTTCCACTTGATTTGTCAACCATCTAAGAGACCTAACAAGTATCGTGTTGTAATTTCAACAAAATCCTCTTATACATAAGCTCGTAAGAATTATAATGAAAAATATTCGTCCACACCGAAACTGAAGCACTGTCTCTCGACGAGTTTTTTTATTCGTTACGACCGGTTTCGGTTTGTAAAACAATTTTTTGTTGGTTTGAATATTACTGGAGTACCAACACCAGACCGTTATTTTCAACACCTCGACTCGTGTTTCTATCACCAAGTGATCATCTTTAAGAGGAAGATTAAACTGGTTCAATATTCCTCTTGAAGATGATCACTTGGTAATCGAAACACGTGTCGAGGTGCTGAAAATAGCGGTTTGGTGTTGGGATTGAACACCAGTTATATTACTTGTGATTCACTGTTTGGAACCTTTGGTGTAGTAATGAATATTACTGGAGTTTCTTCCCAACACCAAACCGTAATTTTAACACCTTGACACGTGTTTCGATCACCAAGTGATCATCTTCAAGAGGAAGATCAAAACAGTTGGTCACTTGATGATCGAAACACGTGTCGAGGTGTTAAAATAACGGTTTGGTGTTGGAAGAAAACCCCAGTAATATTCATTACTACATCAAAGATTCCAAACAGTGCATCACAATTTACTTGGTTCACCTAACCGAAACCGGTCGTAACGAATGAAAAACTTGATAGAAATCAGACAAAAGTTATTTTCTCTATCCTATATTCAATATGAATTTCAACAAAATAAATAGGTCATCAGTCGAACAAGTAAAACTTTTTAGCCGAGAGTGGTCTGGTGTAGAAAAATTGTTTTCATTAAACTAATTTTGTTCCCTCTAGTTATCCTCAAACCATAGTTGTTGGGTATTGGCTGTTACCTCATCATTATTCGAGGATATACACCCCTAGTTGCGTTGGAAAACATTCGTTATGGGTATATTCGTTAGTCGCTTATTTATTGCTCTGACATCAATTATTTTCTTCTGAAGGAAACAAGTTATTGAAATTTTGGCACTTGTTGGGTCGAGGAAAATCGAAAAATCTAAAAGTTTTCTCAAAAATAAGTAAGTAATCACTAGTTCAGCATATTTTAGAAATGAGCGGGAAAATATAAAAACTAAGTAACATGGTCGTAATATTTACGATCAAGTACTACCCTGAAACAGCGCACATTTTGTTGCATTCAAACGTTTCTTCTTTTTTGACAAAAACGTTTGTTAACACAACAAAAGTTGGACGTATAAAATTCCAGAAAGTACCAATGATTTTTCATTATAACTTTTTGAACCAAGTTAAAAATTTAAAAAGGTATTTCCGTTATTCCTGTGAATAATCATTATCTCAAATTTATTGTTAAAAACCTGATCACGGTTTCTGCATCTCAACTGTTCCCGGTAGACTTGTCGACGTCGATGAATAAAATATTTCAAAGCTTTCAAAATTTCCGCCACCTGTCATTATTGCCGACAACTGAAGTGTGGGAGCTTCTTTGGTCTTCATTGAAGACCCATATACCATATACCTACCGATTATACAGGGTGTTACATGCGGCAAAAAAATAAGAGACTATTCCTTGGACTATTCTAAGGATATTTTGTCCTTTAATGATTTTTGATAGGACGCTTTGTTTCGGATTGGAGATACGGGGCGAAAAAGAATTTCGACAATAACAATTTTGGTAATTTTAAAATTATTAACGTAGCCGAAATACAAGTACCTACCGAGTAGTAAAAAATCTAACCATTCCGTTGGTACCTATCAACAACATTCCGATTACTACAAACAGCTGCAGACATTCAATTTGAATAGTATGTCTCAAGTGATCCTGGTGTTTTTGAAAGAATTCGGGGGTCGATGAGGAGAAGATTGGATTCTTGCATCCGATCGGGTGGTAGTCATTTTCAGCAGTTCTTGTAGATTAAGAAACATTACATGTAATTTTTGGTAATACATTGTTTTTGTCGAAATTCTTTTTCGCTCCGTATTTTCGAAACAAAGCGCCCCATCAAAACTCATCAAAGGACAAAATATCTTTAGAATAGTCCCTTAAATTTTTGCCGCATGTTTTATAAACACCCTGTATATCCCGGATCAATACTGAAGTTGTCGAGTATTTTATATTGATCTGGGACTCTATGGACCATAAAATACAATTCATTTGAATTCGGTGGTTCGGTTATAAACATCTCCCTCAATATTCTCACAAAAAAGTATAGTTATGAAATGTAAAACATTTCATTACTGGTTATGGCAAGTGAGGCAGTTTGTCATCTACCACAATTTCTAAAAATACCAGATTTTATGTAAAATTTGGAAAAATTGATTGCGATTTGAGAAAAAAGATATTTATACCACGAAAATAAGCAATTGGAAGTACCCTTACAAAAATTTGATATATAAGCTTCAGATAGTAGATGTATTTGTGAGTAATCGAAAAAAACATCACTAAACTCATGCATTTTAGGTATATGCAAGTTTCATTTGTACACCTACATCTATTTGTCTGTAGTACTACGCTCAGTTACAGCTGACGGACTGTCATGGCCGGTAAGAAGCCCCTCCCTCAAGATGTGCAGTAGATGTGTAGAAATCTGTTATCAGTCTATTAGATTATTCGAGCTGTGAACATCCAAACGAGTAAAATTGCAAACAGAAGTTTCTATTCCTTTTTTCCTAATACTTTCCTTGCCATACACCGAACCAAATTTTACGCAGATTTCTCCCACCGGCCATGACTCAGTCCGGTAGCTGTAGTTCTACCTGTTTAACTGTGTATTGATAAATTGATTAAGGCTTTCGCGGCCAAGATTTTCAGTGTTACCACGACGGCCTTACTATGTATTGTTGAAAACTTTTTTCCGCTACCACAATCGTCCAGGAAAGTCTTGAAATCGTTATTGGGACATGAAGCATGTACCTAATGAAGCTCAAGAATACATCCATTTGAACCAACACCTATTTTCATATTCCCGCAAAGAAAATTCAAAACAGTGCATTTTCGTCTTGAAGATATATAACACCATAATGCCTACCTGAAATGACTTTGATTCAGTAAACGAACTCGACAACTGGTTCAAATTTGCGGATCCTCTGAGCCTCCTCTGATGTCCCGAGGCTTCCTTGCATATCCTTGAGTACAGTAGTAGCATCGTCGTCCATATCATTACGAACATCGGACACAAAACGTATTTGATGAAACTGAAAGGGAAAACGTAAACGACCTCGCAAGATACCCCTTCGTACCATTCATTCCAGACAAGCGGAGTTGAAGCCGTAGACGTGGCTAGCAACCACCCCACGGAGATGAGAATGTAGGCTGTTTTCTTCGTCATGAACCGCGTATAGTGCAGAGGATAGACGATGGCAAGGTACCTGTCCATAGCGATGAACAGCAAGTTGCAAATGGAACTCGAACAAGCGAAGCAGGTCAGTGCAAACCTCAACAGGCAGATGGTTCTCGTCTTGCCAAAATCTTGGACCAAGTAGAACAGCATGTGGTAAGGCAGCGAGCAGCCCACCATGAGATCGCTGACTGCTAAGCTGAACACGAAGTAATTGGCGGTCAAGGAAGAGAGCTTCTTGCTGAATAATATAGCGAACAGGGTGAGCACGTTTCCTAAGATTGCTATTACAGTAGAGGCAATGCCGATGGCCAGCCAGTAATTAGTTCCGCAGTACTGACACGCGCGACTCTGATCGTCGTAAGTGCCCGCAGAACTTTCCATCGCAAAACACTCGCACAATTTACATCAGTTTGATAGAGAGATTTTGGCTTGTTTTCAATTCTTCAATCACTGTCGATGGTTTTGTTTACGAATCGCATTATGTTTATATAGAAAAGACTGAGTGTTGCCGGTGTGACGTTTTTTAACACAACATATTTCGTCATTCCATGAATGGAGAACGATGGCGTTACATTTTCTACGGTTAACTTGGTAGTCTCGACTTGCGATAATTGAATATATTGACATGTATCGCGGTGGATTATTTACGAACGACTGATCGCTGTTTGATGCTCTCCATTTCGATCCCGACTTTCTCCTACCCTGCGTGGTGGATTTGATAGCGGGAAAAATGTCATTGATAAAATAACCACTAACGCGTCATAATGGTGTATCTTTACTTCGAACTGTCTATGGTTACGAAGTAAAATTGTATTAAAGGGTGTGTCATAATGAGCGTTATCGGCTCTAATTTCAGGTCTTATAAAATTAATGCGTGCCTAAGCGTCCATCAGGAATTCTATTAGGTTCATAAAAAAAAAGGTTATCAGAGGTATTGCAGTAGAGAAGAGAGTTACATGCTTTCTAGAATATATAGTTGGTATGAAAGAACTGGATAATACAGTCATGGTGTTGTTTGAAAAAAAAGGGTTTCAAATATAGTAGGGTTTTTAGGGAACGAAGGAAACCCATACGACTTGAGACAAATTGTTGAAAAACATCCGGCCTTCATTTCTTTGCACAGGGACAAAGTCGTCGAGGTTCTTATTGGGGTGGAAACTATCACATCTGACTGTATTGGTAAACTTACGGGTGACTGAAACATTGCGGCATTTGATATTTAATAACATTATTATACACTTCGACGTTATCAACTCAACTATTACAATTATTTCACCTTTTCACTTCCGTTCAATGGTCTCTTGTTATCGCGTTGACATTCATTACTGAACTACTCACTCCGCGCACTTGGCCAACCCTTTATATATTTTTGGAACTTTTTTACATCTACATTTATACTTTTTTAGTACTTTTTTTATATTGACAGTGTATTTCTTGGACTTTGTCAATAAGATGCAAATCTTCGGACAATAAAGTATTTTTGATTTGATTTGATTGAATTAGGTCGAAGCGGCTGGAACATTTTGTCTAGTTTCATTCGGCATGTATTTCAGTAGCTTCTCGAAATAATTAAAATGCTACAATGAAAATTTAAAATCTTCAAATCCACCTTATTCTTCACTGAACTTATTGTCCTATAGAAATATTTAAAATTGTGAAAGGCAGCCATTCTCTTGTCTGGAGAATATTTTTTCATGCTGATTTGATAATTCACAGGAACATATTAACATATGTTCCTGTGAAATATGTCACAAAAAGGATTTGAAGCTTCATAACTTCCATCTAATATATAAAAATGGATGTTTGTTGGTTGGTAAGTGATAAACTTCTACATCGCTCAACCGATCTTAATGAAACTTGACATGTATAAGTAATTTTTCATAAAGAAGGTTTTTTGGCTATCACTTTTTCTGTAACTCGCCACTAGAGGCGCTGTAGAACAATTTTTTGAAAGCACTGTTCTATAACGCTGCGCACGCCTAAGTTCGTTGATTCTGAGTCTGTCAAAACATTGAAACAGCAGCGATACAGCAACATAGTGCTAGTATTATATACGAGCGCTTTCGACAGCTGGTCGTGCTATCGTATTAAAGGCTCTACTCAAACTGAACGTTTTATCTTCGTGTTTGTTCTTTTATGCGGTTAGAACGCCTTAGTGCAGGCACTGCAGGTAAATTTGTCTGTATTTGGGAAATACCCTTTGTGTTGGATTGTCTCTGGGTTCACTGTTTCTAGGAATGTGTATTGTGTAGTATATTGAATGTTAGGTCTTGTTGTGTTTTGATTTGTATTTTTCCTCGATAAGTGAATTATGACTTAAATTTATGGATGCTTAAGTTTTCTCTTGTTTTATGAGTTTTATGTTCTCTGGTTGGGAAAGTTATGTTTGTTTTGTATGGCGTGTGTGGCGAAGTTTGTTTTATGTATGCTTTTTACCTTTGGATCAGTTTTTTCTTGGTTTGGTCAATATAGAATTTGTTGCAGTCTGAACATTGCTTGTTGTACGCTCCGTTTAGGTTTTTGTCTTCTTCTTTTTCATAGCTGTTTATTTTTTGTGTTATTTTCGTGTTTGGCTTGTAAGTGATGTTCAGGGATTTGAAGATGTTTGTTAGTTTTTTGGTTTGGTGACCTACGTATATGAATACAGTCCATGGATGTGTTGTTTTATCTGTTGGAGTAGTTTGATCTTTGTTCTGTATTTTTTGTTTGATTCTATTTTTCTAATTTATCTATTGTCTTTTGAGTGTATCCGTTCTCGTTTGCTATTTGGTATATGATTTTTATTTTCTTGTTCCGGGCTTCATTGCTAAGTGGTATCCTTAACATTCTGTATATGAATGCGTTATAGAAAGCCATTTTGTGTGACATTGGGTGGACAATCCTATAGGATTAACTGGATAAATTGTTATTTAAAATATTCTCAGTTTGCTTCGTTAATGCGGCAACTTCAAACTAGTTGGATTTTTTTACCATCAGTAAGTTTCCATACAAATCTGTTAATTCTTACTTGGTCCACCTAGAATTTTATATTCATCATACGAAGCATATTTTTTCAATATTCAATATAGTGTCTTTATAGAATCTCCTGTAAAATTCTTACCAATTAACTAATTGATATTCTAAAGGCGGTCTCTTCATGCGGCATTTTAAGTAACGTTAATTAAACATTTGAAGACGAACGGGTTTGAAATTATTCATAAGTTGGGTACTGTTTGCCTTGATCTTTATTATTAACTAATGGTGTTTTGTTGATTCTTTTTTTTTGTCTTTACCCAATAAATCAAATATTATAATAACGTTACCATTCAAAACTTCATCAGACATATTCAGCTCATGTAATCTATTTTGAAATGATTATAGTACAAAATTAAAATGTGTAACAGTCTTCAATAGTAAAATGAGATTACTATTGTTTTGCTTAATATTTCACGGAAATTGCATAGATTTCTTTTGCTTTCTCTCATTCATTTATTTTTATTCTAAATCGGGAGAATATAAGTATTCCAACTATATTTGCTGTCAGTATAGTTTGAAATAGTAGTACATAGTAAATAAATGATGAATTACGTTTCAATTACATTACAATTGTTCCACAACTAACAGCCCTGCTTTGAGCCTTTTTTTAAACTCCTATATCTGTAATATATCAATAAATATAGTTCAAAAAACTAAATAACACGCTTTCAAAGAACATCGAACTGAAAAGTTGAAAATATTTTTTTAATAAGCTTAAAACATTAACGAACGAAAAATACTAGTATTATTGTGAAAAACGCAGAGGGCGCTTGATATACAAAAAATATGGCACGAAGCAACTTTTAATCAGCCGTATGATGTTTAGAAAAAGACCAGTGATATTTTCCGATTCCGGAGAGGGAGCCTGAAAATCAGCTACCAAGCCCAAGGCAGCTAGCGCGCAAAAGAGGGTTACAAATAAGGCAGCCGGCGCGTGTTAATAAAAAAAATTACTTTTTTCAAATGAAGAAATACATGTAAAGTGAGTTCGAATTATATCAAGGAGGTTACGTACAGCGCCATCTGTCCGCGAATATATCAAGCAATAATGTCGATAATTCTGTCAAATACAGATCCCGAGCTTGAGAGTTACGAACAAACACACATGCATACATACATACACGTGAAGCTAATATAAAGCGTGTGAAAAGAAGATACAATTCAGCTTGTTCGCAAGGAAATACCAGAAATGCGATTTTTCGTCAACATAGGTTTTCAACAATAAATAAAAAGTAGTTGTCAAAGCAAGAGTAGGTACATAAAATAGATATTTGTATAAAAATGTGGTCATTGAGTAACATCTCTTGTAATCACAGCTATGTTGTATGTACTTTCTTTAACTGCTCTGAGGATAATCGTATGGCACGTTCTAAACAAGTGTGTCATGTGGGTAATTCAGATGAGGGGCAGTTTAAATAGAGTCCTGAATGCCAACAACACCAGTTCTGGCCTATCCCAAAAAAGGGAGGATTTCATTCCTGACGCAATGCATAAAAATAATGAAATAATTTCATACTTTCTCAGGAGCATGATGGCGAACAAAGGTTCGGGCTATTTCAGTAAAACTTCGAAAAAAGCTGACCAGATTCACTCCGTTACCAGTAAGTAACTTCAATAATGTAATATCTCACAATATCACTGTTGAACTTGTTAAAGCATTGAAATCTGAACTTATACCTTTATTGACAGAATTTCAAATATATCTTAGAAAACAGAAATTACAACTCCAAAAATGAAAATTGTTAGAGTAAAACCAATTTTCAAAAAAGATAAAATGGAGAAACACAGGCCAATGTCTATTTCCTTCAAAATTCTGGCAAAAGTAATGTATAAAAGGTTCCCTCCATGCCCCCTCCCGGGTTGAGTGCCCTAAGATGAAATCTTCCCCACACGGTTACTGTGTGCAGAACACCCCATCTGGTCCATCCACCCCCGCTCCTCGGGAGCGGTCCTCAACTTACTGATGGGCACTTCAGCAAGATTGATATCTGACCTACTGCGGTCGAAAGCCAGCCTTTAGGTGATTTTACTTTCTAATCTAATATTTTATTGAATCGTGGCTTCACTTGAATGCAATTATTGCTTGGGGTTCCCGAAAACTAACCGGAGACATGTGTCTTTAAATCCCGAACAAGTGTTTTTCAGTGAATCTGCAAAAGAAGTATTTTGAAATCTGATTAAAAAGTTTTTATACTTATCGGAGCCGCTAGCGACTCTCGGTGGTGGTCTCTGATTCTGCTTGGTCGGCCTTTTGTGTTCATTTCTTTCTCGGAATCTGGGGTCATCCCTATTTAATGTTTCCAGTAGATCGCGTAGCGCTGGATTGGCGTTCGATCGGATTCTGTCGAACACATTTTCTGCGTGTTCTCTTATATACGCGTCTACGTATTGTATGTTCAGATCCAGGTCCCGGAATATACACTGCTATTCAAATTCGTTTCTGTACATGGGGATCTCGTAAACGGTAAGAGATACAGCGTCGGTTAAATTGTGGCCAAGTTGCGTATTTTAGAGACCTATTCAATGATGTAAAAAAATCGAATATAGCTCTATTGGTTCTGGAGATATACAGGAAAAACTCATCTTATTGGCCCATTATTTGTCTCGAAATGGAAGGACTCCAAT